ACAATTTGGGAGTCGTTTAGATAGACCCACTGAAGGGGTACCCCAATTGCCTCACCCTGCATCCCTGTTCAGCATGGAAGAAGCCAGAGCAGTCTCCATCCCGATTCCCTATTGGCAATTTGGGTAACCTCTTCAGAGGATGGTGTGATAAGAATAGGAGGTAGGAATTGGCTAGGTAGTTAGAGTAAAAAGACCTCAAAGAAAACTAGCCAGTTTCTCGGCTAAAAGTCACAATGTCCTTGGGCCCCTTAGCAACATACTTTGTTCCAAAGACCATAAATATCGAAAGTATTTTGGGAGCTTTTATCTAATCCTTAAAATATTTTAGGGTTACCTCTTCAGAGTGGGGAGTGTTAGAGTAACCAAAAGCTCCATAAAAAAATAAAGAAGAAGGAGTATATGAAGTTGTCAGAAAAAAGTGATGAGGAGATATGGGAGGAGTTGGAGGGCAGGGAGTGGTCATGGATTTGATCAAAACACCTTATATGCATGTATGAAATTCTCAATAAATCATTTTTAAATGAAGAAATACAGAACCCCTTTGTAGTAGAGCTATCATGCTATACCACTCAGAATGTGTTGCTAATGTGGTTACTGCTTAACAGAACCATAGAAGGACGTTGAAAAAAGAAAATACCCTGATAAATGTGTTGACCAAAGGATGCCAACAATTCTCCTAGGCTCCTATCTGAAACTCAAGGATTTCAAAAACTTTTTAAATGAACTTTGGTGTATGAGAAAAATCATAACATTGAAACATAAGTCCACTTATCTTTTAACTATTTTTCTAGTTCTCTTCCGAAATTTTGCTGATTATTAAAACACTCCTGTGTAAATAAAAATGTCCTGCTTTTTTAAAAAAGTTTCCTGTTGCGGCATGGAGAGAAAAGCAAGGAATAGCTAGGGTAGGTGACTGCTTCAGTTTAGGCAGTGCTGTTTGGACTAAGGCCTAGATTCAGAAGAGGAACAGAGGGAGAGGACATGGGGAAAGAGGACCTCAGACCAGGGGAGAGGTCCTTCCCAGGTATGAGCAAATTGAAACCAGAAAGTGCCATGTATCTTTAAGTGACAGAAAGGACCTTGTGGCTACATATCAAAGCAATGGAGAGAGTAGCGGAAGATGCAGCTGTAGGGACATCCGGGTAGCCTGGGTCTCATTCTAGCCTTAGCACTAGAAGCATTGGGGCAGTGGCAGTGGGTAAGAGGTGAGGTGAGGTGTCTCCATGTAACTGGTCAAAATCATAGAGATGGAAAATATGTTGATGGAGGGGACAATGGGGAGGTAGTCCTTAATGGGTATACAGTTTCAGTTTAGGGTTTTTTCTAATTTATTTAGGGGTGTATCTGTGTCTGTGTGTGCACGTGCACAGGTGTTCTCACCCTTGTGGAGGTCAGAGGCTGACATCAGGATGTCCTCAGTCATTTCTTCATCTTATTTTGTTTTGTTTTTTGAGACAGGGTCTCATTATGTAGCACTGACTGGCCTGGAACTCACAGTGTAGACCAGGTTAGCCTTAAACTCTCAAAGATCCAGCTGCCTCTGCCTCCCAAGTGCTGGCATTAAAGGCGTGCGCCATCACAACCCAGCTTCCACCTTATTTTTTGAGACAGTATCGCTCACTAAAACTGGAGCTCACACAGACTGGCTTGAAAGCCCCTGGGATCTCTCTCTCTCTCTCTCTCTCTCTCTCTCTCTCTCTCTCTCTCCTCCTCCTCCTCCTCCTCCTCCTTCTCCTCCTTCCTCCCTCCCCTCATTGCTGGCATTACAGGTATATGCTGCCACAACCTGACTTTTGCATGGTTGTTAGGATTTGAATTTGGGTCCTCATGCTTGTCCAGCAGCAAATGCTTTACCCACTGAGCCATTGCACCAGCCTCCTAGAGTTTCAGTTTTGCAAGATGAAGAGACGGAGATATGGATGGTGTGATGGTGAGTATCTTTACTGCCGCAAAACTGTACATCTTAAAATGTAATGGTGAATTTTTTGTTTTGTTTTGTTTTGTTTTCTGAGTCCCACTGTGTAGCCAGGATTTGAATGTGCAATCCTTTTGCTTCTACCTCCCAGGTACTGTGATTATAGGTACATACCTCCATGCCTCCTGGCCCCAGGATGCTAAATTTTGACTATTCAGTTGGTTTTCTGTATCTGTGGGTTCCATAGCTATGGATTCAACAAACCTGGGATAAAAACACTTGGGGAGTAATCTAGTTTCATTTCTGTTGTGAGAAAATACCCTGACCAAAAACAACTTTTGGGAAAAAGGGTTTATTCGGCTTACAAGTCCAGGTTTCAGTCTGTCATTGAGGGGACGTCAAGGCAGGAATTTAAGCAGCTAGTCACATTATAGCCACAGGCAGGAGAAGAGAGAAATGAATACACCCCTGCTGTCTGCTTGCTGCTAATGCTGTCAGCTAGCTTTTTCCTCTTATAGTAATCAGGACCCGCTGCCTGGGGAATAGTGCCACTCACAGTGGGCTGGGTTAATTAACCATCAAGACAGTCCCCTACAGACATGACCACAGGCTCCCTGATCTAGACAATTTCTCGATTGAGACTCCCTTCCCAGGTGATTCTAGGTTGTAATATGTTTAAAACCTTTTTCTTGTCTTAGTTCCTAGGTAATACCATATGACAACTGTTTGCACAACATTTACATTGTTTTAGGTATTATAAGTGATCTGGATAGGATTTAAAGTATAGGAGATGGGGGGTTATATGCAAATACTAGTTCATTTTATATGAGGCATTGAAACCAGTCTTCCTGCAGATTCCAAGGCATGGCTGTGCTTTACCATAACTTATAAAACTACAGAAAAAAAAAACAACCAGACATGATGTCAGACTCCTGTAATCATAGCATTCTGGAGGCTGAGACAGAAGAATTGCTGCAAGTGTGAGGGCAGGAAAGCTATGTGTGGAGACATACATAATGAGTTCAAGGCTAACCTGAATTCAGTAAATGAGGCCTGATCTCAGAAAAACTAAAATAAAAGGGGCCTACAAGGTACTCCACTGGTAAAGGTGCTTGCTGCCAAGTCAGATGACCTAAGTTCAGTCCACCGGGCCCCACAGAGTAGAAAGAGAAAACCAACTCCACAAGTTGTCCTCTGGCCTCCATACACATGGCATGGTACACACGCTCCCACTGCATATGCATATATAAATATGATAAAAACTTTTAATTAAAATAAGAAACCAAAGAACAAAAAACAATTAAGGTGGGGACAGAAGTCCCCCTGGGTGCTATGGGAGGGAAGATATAAGGCCAGGAAAGCCATAAGACAGAGGGTGATCAATGCTGCTCACTAGTCAGCTGGGCAGGAGGCAGGAGGACTGGCCAGCTGGGGGCTGCCTATGGCATAAGGGAAAAGAACCCAACACTATTCCCCAGGCTGAGGCCTAAACCACCACCGGGTATTCATTGAAGTTGAATACGTTCCAGAGACTGAGCACAGGCAGGTGTGGAACAGACCTGAGGTAGACACCATGTAGGCTAGATGTTTCCAGAAGAAATGTAACTACCTAGTTCATTAAGGAGACTGAGACTGGGGGTGGGAACAGGGGATGGAAGTGGGGGGCAGGAGAGACACCAGGATTCTGTGATACTTTCAATCTTGGGCCTAGAACTTGGAAGGAAAGTGGAAAAGAGAGAAGGGCTGAGGCCTGAGCTGTGTTCCCAGTGACTTTTTGAGACCAACCCCCTTTCCCCAAAAGAGATAGAGGAAGGGAAGATGGTAACAGACCCAGCCACGAAGGGGAACAGGGGATTATGAGAACAGACTGATAGAGGGGTGAGGAGGAAACAGGAAGGAGTGGAAATGTGGGGACACAGAAGGGGTAGGCCACAGGCAAGCAGACGCACAGGTGGAGCCAAACACTCAGACCCAGGAGATACAGGCACTTCATGACATCCTGTGACCCAGACACAGAACTAATCACGTGCCCTGTGACACCTGCATCTCTTTTACACACAGAGACCCACAACTGCATCTGTTTAATGTGGCACGACTGGCTTGGTGGCACACCTGCAATCTCAACACAGGAGGCCAAGGCAGGTAGATTATGAGTTCCAAGCCATCTTTGGTTACACGTGTGACCCAATCAGAGAAAAACAAAATAAAACCACACACACACACACACACACTCACACACACACACACACACACACACACACGCACCTGCAGGTTGTAATGGACAGACTGGACCAGAATCCTGGAGTGCCCACCACTGTGACACAGAGCTTTCTGGGTGGCAACTGGACACAAGGAAAGGGTCTTGGGTGTACCCTTAAAGGGGGGGCATGCACTGGCTGGGTCCTGGCTGAGACTGATGCCTATAGTGGAAGAAAGTAAAGGGAGGTTGTATCCCAGGGATTTCTGGAAGGCTCTATTTCCAGTGCCTCCTGTACCCCACAATCAGGAGGAGCAGTGGAGGGCATTCTAGGGTGTGGGTGAGATTTCTTCCTCGCAAAGGCTCAACTGGCCTCTCCCACGATGGGTATCAGAGCTCCCTGGGGAGGGTCATGCTGGGCAGTCAGCCCATGATGGGAGGTGGGGGATGAAGGAGACAGGAAGATGCTGGAAGGCCACCTTGGCCACCTTCTTCCATCTCTTAAAATAACCTGCATCTTACAGGTTCACTCCAGTGGCCTGACCCCTGGATCCAGACAGACCTCACACCCTGGGTGGGTGCCCACCTGGGCTCCCAGGATGGGAAATCAGTGTATTCCACAGACCACCCTCAGCCAAGCTCAGACTTCCATCCCCTGACTTCTCTACCCACTGGAACCCAGGAAGTGAGTCTGCCAGAACATGAGAAAGGGGCTGGCTCCTAGATGGTTAGGCCAATATTTGTTGACTGACTAAGTCTGAATGCCCAGTCCCTGCAACACCAGGCACTGGGGTGTGTCATGCAAGACAGCCTAGGATTGAGTTACAGTTAGGGGGGAGGGGCAATGGGCAGAGCCTGGCTCCTTGCCAGGCCTAGCACTGCCTACAAACAAGGTGAAGAAAGGCACCAGAGCAGTTCCCAGAAGGTAGGCCTGGGGGGAAGGGGCTTGGATAGGGAGTAGAGGAGCTGTTCAGAGCCCAGGGTTGGGAGGCCATAGTGTTCCAGGACTCAGGGTCACAGAGGCTGGAGGTTGACAGAACTGAGGGCAGTGAGCAGCCAGACAGGTGAGAACATTGAGGGTATGGAGTGGGAAGGAGAGCCACATTGCCAGGACATTCTGAGGGAAAGAAGCAGCAAATATTGCATATAGTTGGGGTCTCTGTCACCACCAGAGTGGTTTTGTCTGCCTCCTATCCTTCAGCAGATTGAGCCCCTCCCCATTTCCTGGAAGATAAGCAAAGAAATCTCAGGGTCTACCTTCAGGTACCCAGAGAGGAAGGGAGGAAGTCACAAAGAGAGAAAGGACACCTGGGGAGAGGGGAGGGCACCTAGAGAAAGGAGGGGACACTGGCGGGGGCGGAGTGTCTGGAGGAAGGAGTGACCCCAGGGAGAGAGGTCAACAGAAATATTAGGAGTCTAAGGGATTGGGTAGAGCCCCTGGGGAAAGGTGGGGCACTGAGGGACGGAGGAATGTGATGTCTAGGAGAGAAAGGAACCCCAAGAAAAGGAAGAGGCTACCCCAGGGAAGAGAAGACTTCCAGGACGGGGAGTAAATAAGAGATGAGGTTCCCAGTAGGAGGGTGGTGGGGAGAAGTTCCACATGAGAAAAAGGGAACATTGTGGGGGAGCTGGTAGGGTCATAGGTGACCCTTTGGGAAGATTCAGAACCTCTGCCAGAAGGACAACCTGGAGGAAAGACAAGGGTGTTAAAAGAGGGAAGGGACCCCTCTCTTAGGTGCCCCTCCTCTCCCCTAGGGGAAGGATGGCGCTTCGGCCCCTGTCTAGCTCCCCAGGCTGTAGGTATCAATCAGATCAGGGCACCTTTCCAACCTCCCTTGGGGTGATGCTGCCCTCCTGATGAAGCCAGCTTACACACAGCTGTGCCAGCTACCAGTCTTGTCTTTCCTGTCCCCTGTGGGCCTGAGGTCAGTGGTCTTCTGGCCCTTCTGTGGCCCATGCAGTTACAAGACCTACTATAGCTTATAGTTCCCATCTGTCTGTGCCTCAGATCGCTGTCTGTGTAGGTCCCTGGTCACTCTCCTGATCACTATTTTTGCACATCACTCAGTGTCCTGTCGCATGTCTCCAGGCCTACCATATGGTATCATCATGTTTTCTACTGCTGGGGATGACCATTTCATAGCCACTCTGTCTGCCTGTCATGCATGTCATTGTCACATAATGACATCAACTGGAGGTGCTGTTAGCATGCATGATATCCCTATTCTGCATTTGCCTTGGCCAAGCCATTTAATCAACAACTATTTATGGATCCGCTGTTGTACATCAGAGCACTAGGAAGAATCTCCTGCTCCAGGGTTGGGGACGCAAACCAAAGAGATGCAGTTTCTGTGCCATGTTCGGGAAGGCCAATACTGTGCTGTAGGTTGCTCCAAAGACTGCCCAACCCACAGCCTCCACTAGCGTGACTCATTAGGGACAATCCTGTCCCACCTCCTTTTCAGCCCACCTTGTTCTGCGCACTGTAAGCTCACAGGTCCTGAGCCCCGCCCTCGGGGGCCTTAGACAAAGGAGTAAGAAATGAGAGCCACCATGCTACCTAATGGCATGGCTCTGTCTCCTCTCACCTTATCCCCTCTCCCCTGTCATACAAGGCAGCAGATCTGAGGGTGTTCCTACTGTTGATAGGACAGGGCTGGAGTGCAGGAGGGAGAGGAGAGTACCAGGACCACCTGAGACACTCAGAGCCAAGTGACTTCTTTGTCTGTTCTGACCTTACACTTAGCAAAGCAGCAGTGAAAAGAGAAAGAGCTGGCAGGATGTAGGTCAGATGTAGAAAGATGCATTAAGGAATGCCAGACTTCACAGGTTTCTGGAGAAGTGGGAGAAGTGGTGAGGGAAGCCTCAGATGCGGGGGGGGGGGGGGGGGGAGAGACAGAGACAGACAGAGATATACAGAGAGACAGAAAGAGACAGAGAGAGAGAGAGAGAGAAATAGTCTTTGACACCTCACAAATCTCTCATGCTTTTCTCCCTTCTTTGTATACAACTCTTCCAAGCCAAGTAGCTGTTTACAAAGCCTGCAACTGTTTGCAGAGCCTGCTTGTTAACAGAATTCAACCCTCTTTCAAGGGTCTGTTTAGGAATCCATATGTCTCATTGGCCCAACCTTCTCAGATCACCTGAACTTGTCACTTGCTGCAGAATGTTACAGTCCTCAGAGATGGGCTTGTGTGCAATGTCTCTGCCCTGGGTTGGCAGACTTTTGTCCTGTTTTACAGAGGTTGTAAAATTCATCCCTGTTTTCTATCTATGTCTCTTTCAACTGTTTCCGTTTCTCCCTATGTATGAGATTTGTTTTTATTCCAGCAGCTTCCTCGAATGCGCAGTTCATCACTGGCTACAGAACTTTACCAGTACCTTTGTCTGGGTGCCTGTTTGCAAAGATTAGTTCATGTATTGTGCCTGTCCCTGTCAAGGAAAACTGTTTCCTCCATGGTAATATTATCAGAGCTTTGAGCATCACAGCCTGGGCCCTGGTAGCCCTGTAAGTTAGACTCGGCTTCCCATAATAGGTTAACAAAAAAAGTAACAGTGAAAAACAGATCTATCCAATGTGGCCTTAATGGGAAGAGGAACAAATACAGTTTCAGTTTCAATGACCACCAAGTCCACCTCCCAGAGTCCTGATATGAGGCTTAGGTTTACCTCGAGGGCAAGACTTACACATACCTAAGCTCAAAGTGTGGTCCAGCCCACCACTGACCATCAATGTCTCTGTTCCAGTCTCTCCTGCAAGGTGGTCTGACAAGTTGTCAGAACTGTGTGACATCATTCTCCTTGAGATACAAATTAATCCTCTGGCTGGTACTGGGGGCTTCAGGCTTTCCTTCCCTAGAATGAGATTCCTGAGGAGATTCCAATTTGGGGTTCATAAGAAGGGTGGGGCATCATTGTCTCCCTAGGCTATGTAAACTCCTGCTAGGATAGTTACAATGTATCTCTGTCCCTGATGGTGGAGCCACATCCCACTTTAGAACTGCATTCTGCGGGCAGAGCCTGCATTTCATGTGTTCTTTCCAGGAACTTTTTCCCCTTTGCGCAGCCGTCTGAATTTCCCCGGTAGAAACTGTCAGTTTGTAGGCTCGTTCAGGGGATCATGTTTGTCCAGGAACACCCAGGTCTTTCTGCAGATCTCATCCCTGTTTGCAGAGCCTCTGCTTGTCTGTGCACGCTGCTTCGATTTTCATGTGACTCTCCAAAGAGAGCCATCCCGTTGACACAGCCTTTGCCCATCTCCAAACTGACCTTCTATAAAGCCTGTCCCTATTTAAAGGATCTGGGGTTTTCCACAGAACTCAGTCCTGGTTCCCAGTCCTGCCCATGTGCTGACTGTCTTGTTACTCATCCCATGGCTCCTATGTCTTCCAGAAAAGCCACTACTGTTGACAGAGCCTGTCTTTTAAAACCTCCACTCTTCTTCAAGTCTCTCTGACTATAGGACTTTTTTTTCAGAACCCGCAATTGTTTTTCAACCTGTTCCGGTAACCATGTCTGCAGGGTTTAGTCTGTTTGCTGAAGCTATCCTGTGTATAGAGCCTGGCATGTCTATGGAGCTTTTCCTGGCTTTAAGAGCCTGGCTCTGTCTGCAAAGTCTTTCTCTAGCCAAAGATGTAGTGTCCTGTTTGCAGAGCCTTGTGCATCTATGTACCTGTATGTAGCTATAGAGTCTGACCCTTCCCCATCCACACTCCCAATCTTTACCTGTTTGCCCAGCCTGTTTGCCCTTCCCTGGGTAGCACCTGGGTCTCTGCACAGCCTGTCCTTGTATACCTGGAGGGTCCCTGTCTACAGAATTCATTTCTCAAGGAAATCTTGAATCTGTTGCAACCCTTCTTCAATTCGAGGAAGCATTCCTGTTTGTAAAGCTATTTTCTAGCTACATGGCCTGTTGCACCCTGCAGGTCCTGCCTGTGTATATATTCTGTTCCTAACTTTGTCTGGAAAACCTCAGATCCACATTTCAAGAGTCAATGTCTATTTGTAGAGTCTGTCCCTGCGAGCTGTATTGGTTCCTTTTGTAAAACTTACCACTGTATAACTTATCACTGTCTATAATGACTGTCCCTGATTCTGCAGACCCTGATCTATCTTCATGACTCGTTTCTTTTCGTTCCCTGTTTTAATGTGTATTTTCTTTTATTTTATATGTATTGCCTGCACCCATGTCTTCTGCAAGACCCAGGTCTTCTGCAAGAGCAGCCAATGCTCTTAACCACTGAGCCATCTCTCCAGTCCCCATCCTCTTTTTTTTTTTTGGTCTTTTTTGAGACAGGGTCTCACTGTAGCCCCAGCTATCCTGGAACTCACTATGTAACCAGGCTGGCCTTGAACTCACAGAGATCCACCTGCCTCTGCCTCCCAAGTGCTGGGACTACAGGTGTGCGCCACT